ATGGCTAAGGACAAGGGGTAATGGATTTAAACTGGAAGATCATAAATTTAGATTAGATGTTAGGAATAAATTCTTTACTGTGTGGGTGGTGAGGTACAGGAACAGGTTGTCCAGAAGTGTTCAAGGAGCACTTCCCCATCCCTGGAAGTGTTCAAGGCCTGTTTGGATGGGGCTTTGAGGAACCTGGTCTAGGGGAAGGTATCACTGCCATGGCAGGGAGGTGAAACTAGATGATCTTTATGGTCCTTTTTAACCTGAACCATTTAATGAATCTACAATCTGCCCCAAAAGATCTGAATGCCCTTATCTTTCCTACTTGCACTAAAGGGACCCTACATGCTTTCTGAAATGAGGCTGTACATCTGAGCTTATACAGCTGCCAAAAGGTTTCACCCTTCTTGTAGCTGGTCATTTTTATTTTGGCATTTTCACCAGTCCAAATAATTAGTTAATTAGATGCTCTGTCTCCAGAGATAAAGATTTCACTCTGAAAAACAAAATGATACAATTACTGCATGGAGATTAGAGTCCTCTGCAGTGATGTCATTCACTTTGGCCTTGCACTGACATGATTGTGCTTGATCTCAGCTGACAGCTCAGGGCAAGCTTCCACTAAGGTCAGGAGCTGTAAAGACTTCACTGTGCACCTTTGTGCCAGCATCCAACCACCAGAGACTGGTTCATGTATCCAGACTCAGCTTAAGTTTCCTCCTCTAAATTTTGACTGAAGCAATGTTTGAATGAACACTTCCCTTGTCCAGAGAGCAGATGGCAACACCATGGACTCCTTGTCCAATATGGGAGAAAGGTAAAGCAGAGAGCAAAATGTTGCTCACCAATAAGTGAGGAGTACAGGCAAGAACATCCTTTCTCTTCCTTGTACCATTTTAAAGCAGTCACTTCTGATATTTTTTTTCATAAGACCTTACACGGGTTAAAACTGATCCTGACTACTGTGTATATCTAGTTCTAACCCCTTCCCCCTTTCCTCTTTTGAAAGCCTGGCTTTTACTTCCAGACAAAGTCCTTTCTTCTTTGCAATGCCCCTGGAGAAACCTGCATGCTCACAGAGTATTTAGGGCTTGACAACAGCAGTTTTTCAGATTTTTAAGGATCAACATCATTTGAACTAGCTTAATCTCATGGGCCTGTGAAGCTGGGTTGGAAATGCTGCCTAAACAAGTATTCCATCCACCTTGTCTTAGTCTTGGCTAAAATCCAGAGACAAGGAGAAAAGCAGATGGAGAGAAAAAGACACAGTTAATTAAAGGCCAGGTTCTGAGCATCTCTATTGCCTTCAGGTCATTACAGACATATCTAGGGAACACACTCAATTTCGTTGAAAGTTCCTTCTTCCTTTGCTGTCAGCATCTAAGTTTAGTTGGCCTTAGGCCCCTTAGAGCCTCATGAGCTTTCCCTTCACTTCATCAAGGAGCAGTTTTCTAGGCATGGGTTAAAGAGCAGGCTGCTGCTTGCATAAGGGGAGTAACTCCAGAAACATCAATGGCCAAACCGTCTGCAGGAGCTGCCACGGGCTCAGGGACTGTGTCTCCTGACAGTCCCCACCATCCTAGGTACTCCCAACATGGGCTGGAGTCCCTCTCCTCAGCCCCTGGGTAAGGTACACATCTGTATCAAATCAGACTGCAGCATCTCACTGGGATGACAAAAACCTGCATCTGAAATGAAGCTCAGGAAAGTCAAAGCTCAAAAAGCCCATGTGCCCCACTTTGCAGAAAAAGGTGCAGGTGAACCAGCAATACTGAGAGACCCAGCATGCACAGGGAGCAGCATGGCTGATGGCAGCTTTCATCTGGATACTGTAGGGCAGATGGATTCCCAGGAGGAGACACAGGGTTGTGCTGCCATGATGGAATTGGCTGCAGAGCAGAGGCAGTGAAGGCAACATCAGGGATTGGATGAGGCACCATAAACACAAGTGGTCCATGTGAAGGAGTTAAAAATGTGGGGAAAGGAGACCTGGGGTCATCCCTGAAGGAGGACAAAAGCACTCTATTTAATTTCCCATATTCATATGGTTTCATTCATTTATTCAGTGCCTCCTCAGGATGTGCTGAAACACTCCCCACACATTCTTAATGTAAGTACCCAACTCTAACAGGGAGGTGTCTCCTAAACCAGGGAAAGCTGGTGCTCCTAACACTGCTTGTGGTTTTAGACTGCCTGCTAAGCTGTGTGATTCTACTCATTTTGTCCAGAGGGAATTAGGTTATTTCCCCTCAGAGTAAACACAGCATTTTTCAGCTATTATATGTGAATTCTAGGATTTAATAGATTTTGTATAAATCTATCTGCAGGAAGCAGAACTAAAGATTTGTTGCTGGATCAACCTGTCAATACTGAAGTGTGTAAAGAGACACTAAATGTACTATAATTGTTCCTAAAAGTCCTCACAGCACAATAAAAGCCTTTCAGGGAGTGATTCAGCTGCTCACAAACAGTTATGCAGTGCCATCCCATACAACCAAGTAGGGTTTGTAAAACAATCAGGTGGGACTAATAGAGAGGACACATCAGAGGGTTCCCTGATTTTCCACAACAGCAGCTTGAGGCCATGTCAAAGAGCACTAGATGCTTCATACAGCAGACAACTGAACTGTCAGTGTCTGTAGTGACTGGAGAGACAAGATTTTTGCATCTATTGGCTTTAACCACCCTGCCCAAACCATGGTAGCTGCTTTAGAGTTGATCTAAATCTCCAGCAACATTCAGTTTGATTGCAGAGGGAGCTTTTAAGGACAGTACCTAGCTGTCCTTAAAGAGTTCTTCAAGAACTCTTTCCCTCTGCAGCCTTTTCTTGCTCACAAAGCTCTGAAAGCAATTCCAGCATTTTTATGTAGTACCTCATGACACAGACACTGTACCTTGTAAGGGTAAAAATCTTGCAGCTCCTGGACTGCTGGTTTTTTGCAGATGTCTTTCCAGTACTAAACTTTATTCACTTAGCAAGTTCAAAGTGCAAATCTAGCATCAACCACTTCACAATAGCTTTTGGCTCTTTACTTTCCTCTCCTCTGAATACCATTTAAAAGCAGTGTCTATAACATCAATATTTAACCACAAGGCTTGTTGTTTCTCCCAAGGAAGTGGATTGCTGTACACATGGACTAAATCACAGTGCCTAGACAGCTGATGATAATGAAAGCATCATTCAAGATGAGACACTTGATTGCTACTCTAAAGCTTACCAGTGAAAGAAATGTGTAATCTCTTTTTTTCATTGTATTTGAAATGAAGCCACTTGCTTAAGTATTAGTCATCTGGATTTATCATTTTTAGAACTGTGTTAGCACCTGGCAATCCAGCCTGAGAAAGCACCAGGCTATCCCAGTCACAGGCCCATTAGATTTCTTGTTCTTCTTTCTGCAATGTGTGACAGACTTCTTTTTTTTCTGACATGATTTACTTCCCACTTGACAGGGACAAATCCATGCACTCCGAGCAGCTGCCTGATGGAGGGGAAGCAGCCTGGCAGTGGTGCTCCCTTCCCAGTACAGCTGGTCAGCAGGGCTGGTCCCTGTGCCAACACTGCCACTTCTCATCCCCCTCAGGGTAACAGGGTACCCCAGGCACAAGAAAAGAGAGTGACAAAGTACTTTATTTTCTGGCTGTGATACAAAGATCAAGGTAATTTTCCATATTACTGCCCATGACATTTTCCTGAACATTGAAAGAGATTTTTCCTGCTATAAAAACTCTCCCTCTCCACTTTCCCGGCTGTCTTTGTACTTCCTTTCCCAAGTGTTTCACTGTTGGCTTTTCTCTGCCTTTGCCTTAATTTTCTGCAGTGTAGCACAAGTACAAAGCATGCTCCTGGCAGAAAAGACACTGAAAAATTCTGCCTGTCCTCTGCCTGACTACAAGATGTGCAGAAGCCTTCTTCATGTCTTCTGCACATCTGGAGATGCCGCTGATAAAGACAAACAGCCAGATGATGATACCTAATGATTTATTTTTCCCTGGGGGAAGTGCTGAGGATACTGGATACACTTTGCAACACTGCTCCCAGGAGAGTTTATATAAGCAGGGAGAAGAATTAATAGGCAGCCTTATGGGGAGAGATGAATTTATGCAAATGCAAAAGCATTAAGGAGATTTACTGGAACACCAGACTCCCGGGACCCAGTCTGTGTCCCTGAACCCAGCGGGTGCAGTAGAACCAGGAAGGTCTCTCCCACAGTGCAGGGACCATGGGGACAGATGTCACTCTCCAGAAATTATCTGTATGCCAGGGAGCACAGGAATACTGATGTGGAAAGCAGCTGCAGAGCTAGCCAGCAGGAACTGAAGGCACCAGGTGTGCTGGGCATGGGGATGTATGGCTGGAAATAAGGAGGAGCTTGGATGCACTGGGTAAGGCTTGATGTGAAGAGAAAGAGATGAGTCTTAGCCTGCATGTGCATTAGTGAGAAAGCTGCTCACTTGCCACTGACTCCTGACATGCCTCCTATTTTTGTAACAGTTGTAAGCAATTTAAAACCAGTGAGCCTGAGTCACTGCTATGGTAAACTGTAGTGCTCCAGTGTCTTGACAACAGTCAAACATACTGAATGGTCTAGACAGAGTGTTTGGATTTTTGTCTGCTCATAAATTAATTTGCCTTGGAGCACCCAGACCTTCAAGCTGCACACCTGGCAAAAAAGGGGGTCATGACACTCAAGGGGCAGCACAGCACTGTGTCTCTGTAGGAATGCATTTCTCAGGGCTAGGGGATTAGGAAACCATTTAAAACCAGGGAATCATATCTAACACAATGAAAGGAGGGAATTTCTCTGGCTTTCCTCCAAAAGCCAAGCATTATTCATTGATCAGAATACAGATCTCCATCTCTACTGAGAACATTTCTTCTTCCATTTGCTAAGTGGAAAATGACAAATGAGCTAGCTGTGCCCTTTCCCACATCCCTTCTGCTGTCTCTCCAGGTGTCCCCGTGCTCTGCCCTCCCTCAGCACACCCCAGCAGTATCAGCAGGTACTTACTTGGCACTGCCAGCAACCTCGGGGGTGGCGGAGGTGGAGGAGGCGGCGGTAACAGAGGAGGTGGCCTGCACTGGCAAATTTCCTGGCAGCTCTCTGTAAATTTCTCTGCTACAGGCTTGGAGCATGACTTCTGGGGTTCACCCTGAGTGATCTGTGAAGAAACAAGTCATTGCATGAGCAGCAGAACAGTGAAAACTGGTGAATGTGTTCTTTAGGCTTGAGAACCTGAGTGGCACCTCAGACTTGTAGCAAGAACTGAGCTAAAGTTCCTAAGAGGTCCCTTCCCTACATGGTCCCCATTTTTAATATTTCATTTATTTAACACAATATCTTCAAGAACTCTTTCCCTCTGTCAAATTTGGTTAAGATTGGCCAGCTGGCTTCTGAGTTATTATGGGGTAAGGAGAAGGCAGGCAGTGGCAGACAATACGATTGCATAAGCCTTCCTTCCTTAGGAAAGCCATCTAGCAGCATGCATTATTCACAGGGTCATTGCTGCAAGCCAAAGAGAGCTAATAAAAATTACAAGACAGTTAGGGTCAGGATTATGTTCATTTTCCTTAAGGCAGAACTGAGAGCCAGAGGACGTCCCTCCTCTGCTTTGCCAGCCTCCCTTGGAAGTTCAGAGAGCATTTCACAGGGTGTTTCACTTCCTGCCAAGAGGGGAGGCTACCCACGTTTTAATCATCTGTGGACCACAGCAATAACATGGTTTAAATGGAAATGCCACATTGTAGCCTCCTGTGAGATGCAGTGTTGGTTAATAACAAAAGTGAGGATGAGGCATTGCAGAACCCAAGCATAAGCATCACTTGGCCATGAGCAATAATTTAGCCAGCACTGGTATACGATATATTCAGTAGCTTGATCTAGTCATGACAAGGACTGTTTATTAACAGCATATTTTTCTTATCATAGAAGTATTTACATAACTAGGGATTCAAGGAATATTCAGCAAAATTCGGTAAAATGTAATGTTACAAAATGGAGTCAGTCCCCAATGAAAAGAAAATTTGCTGAGCATCACAGAAGCTTCTGAGAGGTGTTAACTTCAGAGGTCTCTAAGCCAGCTCTTTTTGAATGACTTATACAGGATACAATTTCGAAGAGACAAAGCAAAGCCTAAAAGATTAATAAGCATGTTATTTAACAAGCACTTTGAATGTAAGCATTAGGAGACCGCCTGGGACAGACTGGTGTCCTGCTGAAGCTAAGGACAGTTATGCTAGCATATTTTCTTGTCAAGTTTGGTCTCAGGCGGGTTATTGTCCTAATAGTTTTGGCCTAACATCACCTTCTTTAATTAGCTTTTTCCACAACACGTTGGTCATTACAAAGATGTCTCATGCCATGCTCTCTGATCTGTTTTAGGCAGGCTTCTTCTGCCTCTCTGGCAGGGTCACCCAGGGTTGCCTTCTCCCCACTTCTCTCTGCTGCCCAAGTTTTGCTTCCCTGCCCCTGCCAGCTCTGGGCACACAGTCTGTCTCCTCTCCCCTTCAACCCTGGCCCCCAGCACGGCCAGCGTACCTCTTCCACTGCCCACAGCTGAGCACCAAGGGGGCTGCACTGCCCTGCAGGAAAGCTGTACATATTGTTTCATATATTTCTGGCCAAAAAGAGAGATGTGGCAAATTAAAACAACATCACTGCACAAAGGATGTGTTCACATGCGTAGGAGGTTTCTAAATGCAGAAAGACGCATTACTCTGGCCTCAGGGAAATGGAGGTAGGGCTTTGTTGATTAAATATTATGGGGAGGGAGGAAAGAATAGAAAAGGCTACGTGTAGCTAAGTTGGAAGGACAGCTCAGCACAGCATAAGGCAGAAGGCTCAGTTCTTTAAACAGCTTGTCTAAATCTATTACCAAAGATAGGGAAAAACAAATTCAGCACAAGTGCTTTCCAACTTTCCCCTTCACCGTCAGGTAACAGTAAGAGGATGGTTAAAGATCATCCCAGACAGCTTCCAGGAACTTACACAAACTCTCTGAACACTCTAATGAATCAAAGCGACTTGGCTGTGTAATCCCTCATGACTAGTAATAAATCTGTCAGCAAAGAAGGTTTATTTGTTTTTAAAGTAAGTGATCCCAGGCAGCAGAATATCCTCCATGCTGCTTCAGCTCTTCCAACACTGCTCACATGAGGGGCTGGTGTTCCAGGCATGCTCCCAAGAGCAGCCCTGTGAGAGAAGTGTCCTTCCCTGCAGTGTTAGGGGCATACCTGGGGTACCTCCTTGTTCAACAGGTGTGACAAGATTTACTGTGCTGACAGAAGGAGGTGGGACAGCACCTCTCCAGTGGCGCTGGCAGCTGATTAGGAAGCAGCTATTAACTCCCAGCTACAGCCTGGGCCCTGGGTTATCGAATCCTGAGAGCTCAGTGCAGTCTTGCAGGGGACAGTGTGATGGGAGAAGATGGACACAGAGAAGAATAACCCTGAGCAGCCTTGGAGCCAGCTTCCTTTGCAGATCAGAAGCAGCTTTGCACATGTAAGTTTGAAGACAGTGCTGGTATGGCAAAGCTACATTGACTTATTGCTCTAACTTAATATCAACCAGAAGCAAAGGCTTGCTCTGTCTTTTTTTAGAGCTATTGACTACTTTTAAATCCCTGGAGGTTCTCCTCCCTTAGGCTGGTAATAGAGTGTCCTCAGAAAATAGTGGATAATTTTCTCAATTACTTTTCAGACAAGATTAACACTATCATGGCCAGTCACTTGCTACTCCTGCTCCTGTCTACTTTAAAAATATTATTTTAGAGAAAAACAAACAAAAAAAAAAAAACAAGAAAAGAAAAAAAAGGAAAAGTTGCCTTATTTCTCAATACTTCAGCCTGAACCTCTATAACAATTTCCCATGATCATTTTTAAATAGTCAGGAAAGAACTGACATTTAAAAGCATGGGCTTTATCACTATTTGTTTCCCTTCTCCTGTCACTGGGTGAAATGTGTGGTTGTTAGAAGATAAAAGTAGGAACATAAATATTACCTTGATGGGTTTGTCTTAAAGGCTTTGTTTTAAAAACAAAGATATTTTAAGTTGGTTGAAATCTGCCAAGAAAAGGAAATACCCAAATCGAGGTTGAGGGCCTCAGGGAGGAGAGAAATAGTCAAGGACTACAGCAAGAGGACAGAATAGTAACAGTAATATAAAGCAGCAGATAACAGTAGCAAGATAGAATCAGGAGAAAAAGGAAGGCATTTGGCTCCTTTTCAAGGAAAAAAAAAATCCCCCTGTTGATGTCTATTAGTCTTCTTATGAAAGAAATGAAGGGTATTACTTGTGTCTTCTAAAGGTAAGCAGAAAAAATCACTAGAAAATATGCTTTAGGGAACAATCTTGCTCTGGCAGGAGATGATGAAATAATACTCCATTGTTTCTTTCTTAATGCTTGCAATTCAAGGTAAACTGCCTTTACAGTGTGTGGCAGGAAAAGTGTTTTGAAAGAGCCACACCTTTCTATGGCCAGGTCAACTAAATTAATCTGGCCTCAAACTTTACTGCTTATCTGCTCTGGCAGACTCTCCCACGGCCCCAGAATGGCTCTGGAAGAGCTTTGCAGGTAAGGTGTACCTGGGAGCCCAGCAGGCTGCCAGGCAGTGTGTGGCACAGGGCTTGCCTTGGCAGGGGATCACTCTGGAGATGGATCCCTTGCTCCCTAGCTCTCCCAGCCATTCCTCTGCTGCTGGAGGGGCCATGAACACCTTTTCTTGGCCTATCTGAAACTCGGTTGCTTGTTTGGCACAAGGCTTTCTTAGCACACTGAGCAGTTGGCCAGTCTAGACATATGCTGCCTGGACTTCAAGCTGATACATTTTTCCCCTGCTCTGAAAATAAATAGAGTTGACTTTATGGATTTGTGCATTTGATGTGAACATGTTTTGCAAAAAGAACAAATGCTTTAAAATATTTATGGAAATGAAAATCTGATCCACAAATGTCCAGGGAAGAACAAACAGAAAGTGGTAACTGGTGGTTTCCTTTTGCAGTCTCTGTCTCTGAAGTTTATGCCTGTGGAATATTTCTCTTTAATTCATGGTATCTTTTAGAAACAGTGTTCCTAGTCCTGTTTTGCATACCATGGAAGAATAAATCTGCATGTGGTCAGAACTGTTTAGTATTTCAGTAGAGTCCCATGGGGTTGCAGCAGTCCACAAGCACGTTCTAGAGAGTGGGATGGGAAAAGAGGATTAATACAGTCCCTGGAGGGTGGCCTTCTTGTGACTTTTTTTAATCAGGTAAAAGGAGGAAAGCTTTAACAGAAAAGTGCAGTTGACTGAAGGCACAGAGACCTCTAAAAGCCTGCTGATGTAGCAAGAGCTTTGTCTCTTGGTAGCAGTCTACAGAGATGAGATGAGATCTCACCAGTGCTGCATAAATCCCAGGACAGCTCTGTGCAATTCACATCAGTTAATCCAGATCCATGTTTACAAAACCAGAAAAAATGTGTCCCTGTTATTTATCATGACTCTTTCTGCACTTTTTAAAATTATGTCAAAAGCCTCTGACAGAATCATCCCTTTCCTCTTGTCACAGAACTGGCTACCATGCTAATAAGAAAAGATTGTGGGTTTTGTTTTGGTTTTGTTTTTAGTAAGACAAATGTTTCTCCTTTGATTAGCATCTGACTGATTCTTTTAAGTGTCTCAAGGCAGGGCCTAAGGAGGAAAAGCCGAGGTGGGAGGGAAGGCTATGCCACACTAAGTCATTGTGGGGACAAATGCGTGCAGAGGGGCTGGGGGATGTGAGAAAACAAACACGCCTGCTGCTAGAGATGGAGCAGGGCAGGGGAGCAATGATGCAACAGCACAGAATTAGTCAAGGAGAGAATGGCTTGTGAGACTGAAGATAAGAGCAAGGATTATGACTCAACATGGAGAAGGGAATCTTGGGAGGGGTTCAACCATGAAGGAATTTCAGTCACAGGAAGGATGGAAGGCTGGCATGCCAGTGAGCATTCCACACCTGCCCTTCCCATTGGAATCTGCTGATGGGAGCCTAGTTTTGGGAAAACTGGAAAAAAGCAGGCTTAGTGTTTGTTCTTCCACAGAACAGCAAGCAACAGCACAAGTACAGTTGATGAATGGGTCATTCATCCAAATTCCAAATTATTGCAAGGAAAGGCTGGTGAGCTCCTTGGCTTTTGTATTTCTCAGAGCCTGTTTCAATTTTTATAAATGTAATTGTTTTAGAAAAATAATTTTAGATCATGTGAGTAGTTTCCCAGAAATATGTTTATCCGAGGGTTTTTTTTCTCTGCTCAATTGACTGACAGGGGAGAGGTAGCAGGAGGCATCTCTTTTCACCCAACTGTGCTTCCCTGAGAAATTCAGCTATAGTTTAACTTAAGATTAGCTACCTCAATACTTGAGGAGGACAGCAGGAAGGTAGCGCTGGCAGAAATTTTTATGACAGGACATTGCTTTAAAGGTTGTTTTTGTTGTATTTCTGTTCATTTTAATCCACAAGGAGCACAAATCCTCTTTGTCATTCATGGCAAGAGACAAGATGCTAAAACAAACAACATCTCTCTAATCTCTTGGGAGTCACTAAGTTTAGATCAGGGAGTAAAAGATGTGGAGTCTCCACTTTGTTTTTCCAAGAAGGAAACTGTAATTGGTCTGTTCTTGAACGGCACTTGGCTGGCTCATCAATCACTTCTCTGAAGACTTATATTATAAATAAACTTTGAAATATCGAAGTGACGCATTTGAGATGAGCTTTGCTGCTGTTCTGATTCTCCAAACTGGATGGGCGCTCTCCCTCACTGTGTACCGATTGCTCCCAGTCTCTCTTGCTGGCCACCCACATTACAATCAAGGTCACACAACACCACGGCGTCGGAGTTGGCAAAAGCTGATTCAGCCCTTTACCCAGAAAACCCTCCATTCAATTCGCAATCAATACCGAAACCCCGCGGCAAGGCACGGCCGCCGGGGCTCCGCTCCGCCGCTGCCTCTTCCCGTGCATCTTGCCACCTACAGCAAAATGCGCTTCCCAGCCCTCCGACCGCCGGCGCGCCGAAGAAACTCCACTCCATCCTGCTGGGACCGAGCACTCTCGGACCGAGTTCGGCGCTCCGGGGCTGGCACGGCCGCCCGTCCCGCACACCCGCCACCCCGCAGCGCCCGGCACGGGGGGCCCTCGCCGGGGACAGCTGCAGCTCTCCCGGCTTTGGGGCCGCCCGCGCGACCACCGCCCCGCCACGGCCTCCTCCCCGCAGCGCCGGGGGTGCCGGAGGGGCTCTGCCCGCGGCCCCGCTTTTCCCCCGCCCCGGCCCCGCCGCCCCCGCGCCCCGCAGCTGCGAGCGGGCTCGGGCGGCCCTACCTGGAGGGACCCCCAGAGCGGGTGGAGGGCACAGTGCAGCAGCAGGGAGGGCCAGCAGCAGCGGAGCAGCCCCAGCAGCTGCCGGAGCAGCATCCCTCCTGGGCGGGCGGGCGGGGGCGCGGGCTCCGGGCGACCTGGGGAGGGAGCAGAGCGAGCCGGCAGCAGAGGCGTTGGCTCGCACCCATCCCCGGAGCGCGACTGTCCCAACTTTAATTCTGGAGGGGAGGGAGGGAAGGCGGGAGGGAAGGAGGGGGGGAGGGAGGCAGGGAGATGGGCGGGTGGGGAGGGGAAAGAGTGGTCGGGAAAACCCAGAACCCTGCAAGTCCCGGCTCCCTCAGCTGGGAGACGCGCCTCCACCCCCGCCCTGCCCGCCTCCCTCCCTGCCCGCCCCGCCGGCTTCCCCTCCCTGGGATGCTCCGGCTGTCGCCGCCGGCAGCCTCTCCGTGCCGGGGGCTTCCCGGCCGGCGCTCACCGCTGAGCTCGGGGCTCCCGCTCACACGGGAGGGGAGCGGGAAAAGTTTGGAGCCAGGCGAGGAAAAAAAGAGGCAGGGCCGGGGCCGGGGCCAGGGCCGGAGCCGGAGCCGGAGGGGAGAGGCGGGGAGAGCGGCGCGGCCGCGCAGCCCGGGCATTGCATCTGCCACCGGCCCGCCGCCGCTGCTGCAGCGATTTTTCAAGCCCATCGAGGCAGTCCCTTCCGCGCACGGCTCCCCTCGTCTCTCCTTCCCCGCCCGGGCTCCTCCCGGAGGCAGCTGCCCTGCGCTGAGCCCCGGGCGGCTCGGGGACCTGCGGGAGCGGGGAGCGCAGCACCCGCCCCGCGCCCTCCCCGCCGCCGAGAGCCGGAGCCTCCCGAGGGAGGCGCGGGATGAACCCGCACCCCCGGCCTGGAGGAGCCCCGAACTGCGGCCGGGAGGTTTTGGGGTTGGTGGTTGTCGGTGTTCCCTTCTCTGCTGAGTGACGCAAGGGTTTGTCCTCTGACAGGCGGGACGGGACATGGGGCTGGGTCGGCCCGCTGTCTCTGGGATGAAATAGGGAAGACGCTTCATGGCATTTGTGGTTCTATGTTCCAACAAAACACGCGGAAATGTGTAAACAGTGCATGAGGGGAAGTGGATGGATAGACCACCCTCCAATATCGAGGCACCACAGGAAGGAAACAGTAGGAAATCAAGGATGATGATGGTTTTGCTTCCAATGAAGCACTAAAAGCAAAACAGCTCTTTTGTGACTTGGGCTATTGCTGAATGTTGGGCCTTGTGGGTATCAAGATGACCATAAAACACTTGTTATTGGGTCCATGACACAGGGATCTTGTTTTCAATGTTTCAAATGCAGTAAAGCACATGGGTATGAACAAAATACTAGTTCCAAGTTACATTTCATACTGAGAGATGAATGAGTTTGAGAATATTGACTTTAGTTTTTCTTTGTATTTCTTTCACTCAGCCAAGTTTAATAAAAATCTGCTCAGAGAAGAAGGAATGGAAATACATTGACCTCTGAACTGATACACAGCTAAAATTCTTTTTTCATACCACTGTTACATTCATTTCATGTCCATTCATTTCAGCCCCGACAGGCACTGTTTTAAATGTCAGGACTATCAGGCCCAGCAGCATTTTACAAATGAGAACAGCACACTGGAATTTAATGGTGTTACACCTGAGTTGAGGTGGAGTCATTGAACCCAGGCATCTGTTTGTAAATCCCTGTCTTGTGGTTTTATAAGATCAGAATTCAGAGAGGCAAGACATTATGATCTTGAGTATAGGCAGTAATTGTACAGCAAAGATATTTTCTGTAATGATGCTGAAAAAGATGGCGTCCTTTTCTGTAAGCCTACTGTGTAATACGCAGGGCTTAATATAGTGTGCTCATTCAATTATAGTTTTAGTGAGCTGGAGTCACAAGAGACAGCAAAGCTTTTCAGGCTTTCTGGTGATTTCCTGAAGGTATTTCAGCACTTGGTCACAGTACAGAACATAATAAATTGCACCATCTGTATACATAGTTCTTGGTTCCTGACAGAATGAGAGATAAGGCTTTAGGCATTGTATGCCAAAAAAATACAACACAGATTTATTTTCTTTCAGTATTTACAATGCCTTAATGTCTGAAGAACTGTGGATTTTCCTGCCATTAGCGATTGCCCAAGTAGCTGTCTCAAAGCACTGTTCCTGTGGTTCAAAGACAACCCAGGGAACCGAGGAGACAGAGCCAAACTCAACCCACAGTCGCACGGAAGCAAGCGCAATCAGGGATATTGTTCTGACACAAACAAGAGCAGAGTTTGGCCCAGGTAATCAGCATCTTTTCTGTCTCACACTGGTAATTGACAGTTCACTTGGGAAAATTATTGGGCTGCAAATGTATTAAATCCAGCCTCTGGACCCAGTCATATGGTCCACACAGAAGCATATTTCCCATTAGTCTGAATGGCTGAAGAAAGGGCTGAATGTGTGCCCTGTTCTTGTCCACATGACACCAGTACTTTTCATTAATTACTTCATCTTCTCTGTAGTTTCTATGGAGAGAAAATAGAGTCCAGGAATTTTTCCACTTATAAGGAAGATAAATGATATCATTCTTGCAAGACTGTAGGCCCTGAATCAATGACAGGCTTGGAATATGTTTTGCTTAATAATGCATTAAGTATTTTGTAGCACCAGGGCAGGTTTGTGGAAGAACACGATGATTTGTCTGCAGCAGTCACACTACTGAAGTGTGGAAAAGGATAATGGCTAGGGTCATCCTGGAATCAGAAACAGGATTTCCTGGGGTGTAGTCCCACTACTACCAACTCGCTCTGCTACCTTGGGTATATTTTAGAAATTACCTATACCAGATTCCCTGCCTGTCAAAACAGCACAATGAGATCCAACTACCCAAAATTCTTCCTGTTTTTGGTGGGAAAGGCAGTAACAAGGTCCTGTCCTCCTAAATGTTTAGCTCATCACAGAAACAAGGAGCAGTAGCAGATCCTTTGCTGGTGTGGTCAACAAAGATCCGTGCTCTGGTTCAGGGCTCTGGAGATGAAAAGTGATTTGTAAGTGTTACAGCTCAAAATAATAACTTAAACTATTTTAAAAGGGTGTTCTCTTTTTTTGTTTTCAGAAAAAGACTGCACAAACAGCATCATTCAAGCTGTTTCTTGAAAAATTTAAGTCAAATATTAATGGTCAATGGAATGATGACCATTACTCATTTTCCCTTTCATCTTTGATCTGATTACCAAGGAAGAATATTTGTCTTGTTTGCTTCATGCTTTTATTTTTTAAACAATTGCTGATAATCAGAGAAATCGTGATTAACACTCCAATGGAGCAACTACTCCGGAAACATCAGTAAGGCTTGTGACACTGATTAGCTGTACTTACAAATATTATCATATTTCTTTAATCTAAATAGCCATAATAGCCTTTAAGAGGCTATTTATTTTGTCAGTATTGATGGAGTTTACAACATAAATTCAAATGTCCAGAGAGCACAGGAGAAGGTTCTCTTTGATGTTGACTTGTCTAAACTTTATTAAAATCAATAGATATTCCCCAGTCTGACTTTAGGTGAATTTTATCCCTATGTCTTTAGAGACATCAGAGGGGTTTTAGCTGAAGCCAGTAGCAGAGGAAGCAAAGGCAGCCTCTTCTCAGGCTCTGTGGTCAGTCAGGCCTAGAAAGAATCCACTTAAGCAGTGTTTTACTAATGACATTTCTGGATGCAAGTCAATGAACTCAAGAAGAGTGTCCAACCTGGCGAAATGCTAGAAAACATAAACATGCTAGAAAACATTTTAGCACTGACTTCTTAAAGCCTTCTTTAGCCTGGCATGGTCTGTCCCAGATTAATTTTTGGGTTTGAGTCTAGAAAAACATCAGCAAGCAGGTAAATGTACAACATCACTTTTGCTTGCACTGAAAATATTTTTGTTGCTATTTTTAAAAGATATTTTTATTACTCCATATATCTAAAGCAGTACTTTCAACACATGGAAAGTAAATTTACTGGTTTTGGATTTCAAGTTTCTACCTAGCAATCCACAATTTATTGTGATATTTTTAGAAGATCAGGAATTAATAAAGATCACAGTAACAGAAACAGTGGAGGAAATTGTATTTCTTAAAATACCATAATCTCTTCCCATGGAGGGGAGAGAATTCTTCTTGATGATCCCAATTATTTAATAAAACTGAGGACCATACAAGTAACAGATTTGATTTTTGGAAGATGCTATTATTCTATTGTTCAACATTTCCAACTTGGAAAAAGATTCCCGACTTTGAGGATATCTAGAATACATTTGGATAACAAATGATTCTTTGATTTTCATGATATTAAAGGTTTGGAAATGAGTTTTAAGTTTCATACGTATCTGAATTTCAATAAGTGCTCTTAAAGTTGTCTCTCAGATAAATTCAGGCTATTGCACTGCATCTGGAAACAGTGGCAGGGTGCCCCCTTTTCATGCTATAGGCCAGGAACACTGTAATCAAAATCAATGTTTCCATGTCAGGCTAGGTGAGGAGTGAATAGCACCAACATGGAAAGTTGTATGTAACCTTTAGCTTGTGTTCCCTCACCTGAAAGTACAGGACATGGTAGATTTTTATTTGTGGTCAAAAAAGCTGTGGCTATACATCATACAAGCCTGTTCTTGTATTTTTCTGACTCTGAGATGCTACTTTCAGTGATAAACAGGCCTTCTGCTTATTAACTTGCAGTAGTTTCTCACATTTTTTTCTCTTCAAAAATGGATTTTGTCAGCAGTATCCTTGCTCTTTGTTTATAAAGGTAAAATGTGTGGGATTAGTTATTAAACTCTCCAGAAAAAATCCTAGATGTAAGGAAGAGATTGTATGCCCCAAATATGTCCTATTTTCAGCTTTATCAATTGTTCACACAACACATTACTTCTTACATATTTTACAATTTCATTCACTTGTGACTTTATAATGAAATCTCTGCATGCTGAGTGAACTGCAGGTTGCAGAAATCACTTAAGTGCTATGTCACTTTTTCACTCATTATACATTGCTGCTCTGGTCTCAAAGATTGAATACTTGTTATTTGAATGTGTAAAAGATGGTATGAAAGCATTG